ACACACAAACAAAAATATTAACTATCGTATGTTGAGTAGCTACCAAGGGTTAGGCATGGAATTAACCCCTTTGTATATGTTAGCTCAGTTTATTCTAATACAACTTTGTCATATACAATTTACTATTTCCATTTCATCGAGGTTTGGGAAGGTTTCAATGACTTCTCTGAGGTAATGGAGCAAATAGGAGGCAAAGTGTACATTTTAAACCACTCCTGTCTAACTTTGAAAGCTTGACTCTGAATTCACTATGTCATACACTTATATTCTACATTAAATATAAACAGCCAAGGTGGTGGGTCACTCAGGGTCACCGAGGGTGCTGAAGCACGGGTTGTGACTAATAATTCCATTTCACACATAAAACAAACTGAAAGCGGAAATCTCCAGTCCCTTGTTCATCTACATGTGTTATCTGATGGAAGGGAAAATGTTAGAACAGCTTTATTACCTTCGGCTGGGGACCGGCCTGCAGGCCAGGGGAGGTGCTACTGTGCCTCACTGAGGAATGTCATACAGGTGGATGTGAACACAGAGCCACAAGGGATCTGTTCAAAAGCGATTTCAGCCTCTTACTGGCGATAATAACATGGTGTCTGTATCATCCTTTCCTCCTTCCAAATAAGGGTGGTGCCTTTGAATCTCAGTAGACAGAGGCCAGGCCTTGTTTGAGAATATAAATCTCATGCTGCAGTCTGAATATCGTTCTCTCTCATCACACTCTGCGTGGATCTTGGTGACTCCCAACGAGTCAGATTTCTCCTTCCATCCTGCCTGAATAAAGCCAAGTATCTGTGACACAGGAGAATGAGTATTTGCCCTACAGCCAGAGCACAACACTCACCTAAACCCTGGAGGAGACATCTATGCCTGCAAATGATCCACAGCACCTGTGTGCAAAGTCTCATAAGCAGAGTTGAGGTGAATGACACAGAACATTAGTGCAGGTGGGGCCAGAGGATGGGGGAGTGGGGGTTGAGGGGCTATGACATGTCACTGGACTTCTCTTACTTACTAATTTAATATGAATGCAAGGCCAACTTATGCGGTGGAGTGAGCAGGACAGCCAAATATATAAAATAAAAATTTTAAGCTCTCCACCCCCATATCATCCATCCACGGGGCAGGGGTGAGTAAGACTGTATCATGTGCACTATGCTGTAAGCTGCTCTTTGTGTCTAACACTCTGTCTTGGGATCTGTCCACTTCAGCACGCATGCTACCCCATTGCTTAAATGACTGCATGGTTTTCCACTGGACAGATGCTCTTGTCTTTATCCCACCAGTTCCCTATTGCTGAGAATTTGGCTGCAGAAAGCTGTCATTAACGAGTAATTCTGTTAAAGCAATAGATACATAGGACTATGAAATACTTGACAACCCCCATCCAACTGAAATGAAATTCAAATTTTAAAAATAAGAATTTAAACAGCTTAGGAAGTTTGAACCGTTTTATTAATTTTAAATCTTTTGAATGCTTATTATTAAATGAGAAAGCTTCCATTATTGCCCTACATACTTATCAGAGAAATGAAACCTTTCCTTTTGCTTGAAGTGTTTTGACAGAATTTCTGAAAACAAGAAAGAAAGGGCCTCTAGGGGGAAAGTGAACACACCAGGCATATGAGATTCTGGTACTCCTCCTTCGAATAGGGGTTATTTTCAATCAGTTACTTACTGTGCCTGGTAGATATCAGACAAAACCAGATTGCAAAGAAAACCATGAGCTCTTCAGACTACTTTTCTACAGAGGCCTTTATTTTCTTGAGTTGCTGTAGTTTTAGAAAAATTTACAGCAGTCTTTAAACATATCTTAGACAAAGAGTAGATGGTAATCTATAAATAATAAAACAATAAAACAAAACTATTCTCTTACATTTTGTTTTCATTTCATTTCGTTTTTTTTTTAAAGCTCATTTATTTATTTATTTTTATGTTGAGAGAGAGAGAGAGAGAGAGCACGAGCAGGGGAGGGGCAGAGAGAGAAGGAGAGAGAGGATCCCAAGCAGGCTGCGCTGCCAGCACAGAGCCTGATGTGGGGCTCGAACTCACTAACTGTGAGATCATGACCTGAGCTGAAACCAAGAGTCGGATGCTTAACCGACAGAGCCACTCAGGTGCCCCAGTTTTGTCTTTATTTTAAAGGAAGGCCCCTGTGACATCTAATAAAGCCTAGTGGCTTTCAAGTCATCTTTTGTTCCAAACATACCCCTAGGTGGAAAGTATCGATAGCACATTAGAGCCCAAAGTGTCGACATAAGTTTCTGAGGTTGGAATATACAGCTGGGTCAAACGGACTACCAGATGCACAGTACTGAACGCCTGAACCTTGATGGGGTTGCAAACTAACTTTATGTGTCGAAACTGCATGTACAGACCCAGCTTAGTTAATTCTTTACAGGTGGTGGGTATTTAATAAATATGTGCTGAGTGAATGAAGAAAAGGTTTTGAAAGGCAACATATTGTCACGTTGTCTCCTGGTGACAGACTACATACCTAAGAATGGTGAAGAGAAAAAAAAGGATACAATCTGGTGCCAAGAAAGAAGGAGAAAGATTATATTTACAGAATCACTGCTTCTCTAGTCCACTGTAAAAGTGTGAAATGGTTGAAATAAATCTTCAAAGAACGCTCAAGCCTTCCTTTTTGCCCAGTCTTCCTAACTTAACCCTTTAGTCATGATCCTTCTTGTACCTCTGACAATGACCGGGGAGGCTCATGTTCTTGCCGTGGCTTCTTCCTCCTTTTGTACCACCTGCATTATAACAGTCCTGATGAATTAATTCTCACTAAGGTCTAAATGACTAATATAGCGAACCTGTTCCTCATCAGGATTCCTTATTTTTTAATAAAAGACACAGAAATTAGTCTTAACTTTATTAATGTTTCAGGATACGTTAATACTTCAATAGTCACATGGACTTTCCAGTACCTCTGAAATCACCTTGTGCAGCATGATCCCCCTGTGGTTACTCATACACCAGGCTGTGTCCACACCTAGAATTATGCATTGGGCTCAAAAGTCTTTTGCTGATTCTAAACTATATTCCTTAGCCTTACTCTGAGGAAAGAGGACCAGAATATCAGTTTAATTCTAAGCTTTGGCTTCGCCAGAAGGAAGTCTCTTTTACATTATTGAAAACAGTTAAGTCACAGGGATCTATTTTATGTCACAGAAAATAAATGCCACACACAGAACAACTACCCAAAATACTTAAAAGGCTAAGCCAAGGGTAAAAGTTTGAAACACCCTGATTCTCTATGGTATGTTATAAAGTAGTTTAAACTATCTGTGGCCCAGAAGTAGTCTAGTTAGCACTTGTTAAGTATAACTACTGTTTGAAGAATTGCTTATAGAAAATTATGATACACATATCTGGCCTGGGACATATATTTTGTAGTGGCTCCTCTGAAGGGATTTGCAAATTAAATTATTTAAATGTGCTTATCATTAGCAGTTTAAATAAATGACATTTATTTTGGCAAGAGATTAATTTTTAACTTGGCAGCTGTTTTCAGACAGATTGTTGTCAGGTTATTACAGTGCCTAACTTTGAAAGAAGGAAGAAATGTACAGGAGATTATTTTGGTTTTAGACTTTCAGCTTGCATTTCTCCAAAGAGGCAAATAATTTCATCCATGCCCTACGATACTGGGTCCCAAAGACATTGCAATGTTGGCATCTTTGTGACCTGATTTCAATAATAACCCCACATGTGGAGAACTAAAAATGTTCTTTAAAAGAGGAATTCTTCAAATATACTCTTCAGAAGCTGTTTTGTTGGTAAATTGGAGATTTATATAAGAGCACATCATAGAGGAGCAGGGTAATATATTGGTAATATACTGAAAAGAGATTTGCAAGATGTGGGCTCAAGCCCCAACTCTGAGAAGCCCACTAACTTGGGGTGTACTTGCCAAGACCTCCAGCCTCAGTTTCCCATCTTCAAGAGAAGGGTATTTGGAGCTGACTACTAAAGTCCTTGCGTGAAAAGTCCGTGCACCTGTGAAACCAGCCTCAGTAGTATCAATCAGGTTTTGCCCAAGGTTGTCCTGTGGTCTACACAAAGACCACAGGGTATCTCTTCATCTATTTCCCCATCTGAAAACTCACAGTTCCTACATTCCATTTGCCTCCAATTTTAATATTTCAACTTTCAGCCACAATTCATGACAATAATGCCCCCTGACATTGCAGCTGTCAATGGGATAGTAACCCTAAATTATGTTTTATTACTGGCTAGCATAATGGAAAAGAGGGAGGCTTCTTGAAGAAGGGCACAACTACCACCATCTAGTTAAACACTGCTTTGAATTCATGAGCAAATTGCCAGTTTATGATACAAGGTAACAAGCCACCAATCGAATTTCAATGGAACACTACAACAGGCTACAGAAATACCATAAGGTAGCTACCAACACCCCACTTCATTCTCTCTCATTGAAAAGAAACTTCAAAAATTAAACTTTGAGCAACGGAGAAACGAGGAAGTCTATTTTTAATCGGAAAAGACCCAAGACAACACATTGGCCTCTTTTAGCATAAAAAGCTCTCAGCATATATATCCTTCTCCAAAAGTTTAAACACTAATCAAAATAGAAATCTATTGTTTTTTTCAAAGTTTTAATTTAAGTTCCAGTTGGTTAACATGCAGAATATTATTAGTTTCAGGTGTACAATCTATTGATTCAACGCTTCCAGAAGAAATCTATTTTCTAATAAGAAACCAGAGTAAGTTCAAGAGAATATAGAAAATGGTTTCAACATTTTTTACAAATAAGCAACCAGATATAATGGGTCAATTCATGAAAAAGATTCTCACTTGAATGTCTTACCATTTTAAATTCAAATAATGCTTTTCAGTTCTCCCTCTGGATTACATAAATCGTAAACCCAGGATTATATAAATTCTAAATCCAAAGGCACATGAGAATTCTCCCACTGCAAGATTCAGGGCAGAATGTGAGACATAGTTTTGAAACAATGAAGAAGTCATACCTTGAAATCATATGTGGCATCTGGGTTTTCATCACAGGCAATAACTTCTGGCGCCATCCAATAAGGGGTCCCAATGAAGGTATTTCTCCTGCCCACTGTTCGATCAAGCTGGGCACTGACTCCAAAGTCCACTATTTAAGAGAAGACAGATGCATGAAGTCAATGTCCTTATATGGTGATAAAATGAATGTGCATTTTTTTTTACTGTGGCAAAATAAACCCAACATAGAATTTACAATTTTAATCATTTTTAAGTGTACAGTTCTGTGTCATTAAATACATTCACATTGTTGTGCAACCATCCCCACCATCTGCTTCCAGAACTTTTCTGTCTTCCCAAACTGAAACTCTGTACTCATTAAACAATAACTCCTCATTCTCTCCTTCCTGCTCCCCACCCCTGCCCCTGGCAAGCACCATTCTACTTTCTGCCTCTGTAAATCTGGACTACTGTTGGTACCTCATATAAGTGGAGTCATACAGTATTTGTCTTTTTGTGACTGGCTTATGTCAATACGCATAATGTCATCAAGGTTAATCCGCATGTGTCAGAATTTCCTAACTTTTTAAGGCTCAATAATATCCCATCGTATGCAGGTGCCACACTGTGTTTATCCATTCATCTGCTGATGGGCAACTTAGGTTGCTTCTTCCTTTTAGCAATTGTGAATGTTTATTTTTAAACTCTGTGTATACATGGATAAAGTATACCAATGAGGAAAGCACAAAATGCTGTATTTGGTTAAACCAAGGGTCTGTAGGGACCAAAAACAGGTGTTGAATAAAAAGCAAGCTTGTTTGCCATAAAAGAGAATACTTAGAGGATACAAAGGAAGTGGTTATGAGCCAAGTTTCTAGAGTCAGACTGCCTAAGTTTGCATCCCATTTCTGCCACTTACTAGTGATGTCACCTAGTGCTAGCAGATCAACCTCTTTAGGCTTCAGTTTCCAAATTTATAAAATGAGGGTGATGATATTTGCATAGAGTTGCTATGATGGCAAAGTGAGAGAAACTATGGAAGAGTGTTGTGTACAGGGCCTGACATAATATTCTCTCAACAAGTGACTGTTGATTAATGATGACTGAATATTCTGAGGATACATTATCTAGCCAGTATACACAAACATATGTACATGCACGCACGTGTGTACACACACACACACACACACGCACACACACACACACACCCTGCCTACGAAATGTATGCTTTTGTTTTAAGAGGGAATTATTCACAAGATGAAAGTTTGGCCCCAAATGCTAACTAAGAAAAAATGGAAATTATGTATTTTAACAAAGAGGCAAGAACAAATGTTTAGGATATAAACACAGGAGATATTTCAATCTCTCTGAAAATAAACAATCATATGGGCAATACCTCCTTTCTAGATGACAAATTGCATATCCTAGAGATAGCTGTCAATCCACGCCCTTACTCATAGACGCCAAGCAGGCAAATGCATGTGGAGATTCTCTACCTTCTCTTCCCACCAGATTGTTGGAAAGAAGCACCAAGGAAAAGGGTTGCCTCACAGATAACTCTGGCAAGTGGAAGTAGGATATCCAGCATGCATATTCTGGATATGTACATGCATGAATATGTATATTCTCCTACAAAGGAGAATACTGAACACCCATTTTGTGCACGTGCCCTAGGTAATAATGAAGTCGATGAAAATATAATGTAAAACATATGGGAATATAGCAGGAATTCATTATTCTAAATGTGTCTAACAGGATATTTTTCAGTAAACAAATGGGTCATCACTTTCTGTTATAGCAGCAACAAAGTCAACAAATGGTAAGATACAGGAAACCACTTCAAGGTCAGTCACTTCTAATCTAAAGGGTTTTGCTTAAAAAAAAAACCTCATTTTGGGGGGCACCTGGGTGGCTCAGTCAGTTAAGTGTCTGACTTAGGCTTAGGTCAAGATCTCACAGTTTGTGGGTTCGAGCTCCGCCTCGGGCTCTGTGCTGACATGTCAGACCCTGGAGCCTGCTTTGGATTCTGTGTCTCCCTCTCTCTCTGCCCCTCCCCCACTCACTGTCTCATTCTCTCTGTCAAAAATGAATAAACATTAAAAAAAATTTTTAAAAACCTGAATTTTTTCCTACGTATTGATTAAGCAAATGGTCTGTCTGCTATATTGTATACCAATTCACTCAAGCACTTTTAGAAAATGTTTTGAAACAGACAAAGAAACATTTTCCTCTTCGTTCTGTAGTACACTGACCTCCAAATTCACAGTGACAAATTTGCATTCATTAAAGACAAAACAAAATGGAAAAACAATCAGCTGTTGAAATAATCGTATCAGTTCCCTCAATTCCTAGGCTCACTGGATCCTGTTCTTACCTAGTTTAACTTCTGCGTTCTCAGTCAGCAAGACATTCTGCCCTTTAATATCTCGATGAATCACTTTATGCTGGTGCAGATGACTCAGCCCCTGGAGTAACAGAGAGTTGACAAGGGTTAACAGGACAGAAGCCAAGATGCAAATAAACTAGCTGGGTTGTCAGTGATCCCAAAAAGATGTGAACTCACCCAGAGAGACTTTTGTTATCAGACTCACATCTTTCATATGTGTACAGTGCTGTTCTAAACTAGGCAACTGATCAATACAAACTAAAATACAGAAGCAGTCTTTGCAACGCCTGGTGCTGTATTAATGAACTGCTTGCATATCAGCATTGATCTCAGGTAGCATGGACCCAAGCGGACAATGATGCGGCTCTGGCATGCACGAGTTTCGGCTGATAGTACTGAGAAAAGTGAGGGCTGGCTGCATGTGCTGGTTTGTAACAGAGTCTAGAGTCTCTTACAGAAAACTAACCTGATTTAACTAAGTACTCCAGTTTGTTTTTTAAATCAATATCTGAATTCAAAAGTTAAAAGTTACATTATAGTGTATAATTTTAACTAAGCACAATGAAACATTTCTCAGTCCAGACAAGAAATTTCCCATTGCCTTTAGCCAAAGTGCCTCACATTAAAAAAAGAAAACAGCAATTTCCCTTTCCTTTGTTTGGCATTCACAGCTGTCATCTTTAGTGCTTTATGATATTTATGACTTTGTGTTCATTATATGAAATAATTATGTGGTGGCATCCAAACCTGATCGTGTTCCCCTTCTCCATGAGTTACTCTCACTTTGGCTTCTCTGTGGTCTGAGCTCTAAAAATCTACAGACTTGCTCTAAGTCAGACAAAGCATAACCTAAAACAATCTCAAATTGGTGTCTTAAAGCAAATTATGTCATGCTAACACTTGCTCATCCAAGGTATTTATACTCAGGTATTGCCATTTTATTATTTATACTTTGCTGTCTTTTAAATTTTCCTGCATAATGACAAAACCCTGGTATGAAAAATGAAGTTGACATAAAAAAATTCTAACTATCTGAATTCCCTTGTTGAAAAGACTCATCAGAAGAATATGGATGTTCAAAAAGATCAATGTGTATGTTCAGGAATATCAGTAAACATAAACCATGAGAGTTTGAAGCATTGGCTTGGGTGCTAAAAAATTACCTTTCTTATCTAAGTCAGGTTAGCTCAAGGTGGACATCAAGCAGATTAAAATGTTTTACAGCATCTTAACATCCCATGAATTCTTAAAAGAGGGACTGAAAATTCCTTGGCCTCCTTCACTACCAGAGCTTTTGGAAGCAGGTACCAGAGCACACAAGTGAGACAAATGCCATATTTTATGACATCGTATGATGCATCGAGGGTTATCTCTGAAACGTCTTGTGATTGAGTGTCTCTTCCAATGAGTCACCTTATCTCAAATGCCAGTACCTTTTGGGAGAACGTATTGGAAGAAGGAAGAAAACAGTTTTCACAGATTCTACCCAAGCATTGAGGGAGAATCATCGGGTGATGATCCTGCTGTTTTCAGAACCCTGGAGAGCACATGGTGGATCCCCAGGGTTCCCCAGCTGGGGTTCCTCAGCAGCACAGAAAGGTATATTGCAGAACCAGCCCTGAAGACCCAACAGATTCTTGGCACCACTGAGTGGTCTCGAAGACTAAATAACCTTTCGTGCTTTCTCTAAATGAGTAAAATTGTAAGTCAGAAATTCAAATGAAGTTGACAAAAAGGCACCTCGATCTTTGAAAATAAATGTCAGATTTGAAGGACAGCAGCAGCCATACCTCCTTGTATCCCACTCAAATTTTGTTTTGTGTTCTTTTGCCCACCCCAAGCCATGGAGAGCTTATCCTATGTTTGCTCTTAAGAGCTTTATTTTTTGTGTTTTTCACCTTTATGTCTCTAATCCAGCTGGTATTAATTTTTAAGCAGGATATAAAGTAGGTATCAAGTTACATGTTTCCACACGACTATTCAATTAACCAAGCACTATTCACTGATAAGGGCACCCTTCCCCCATGCACTGCAGCACTTCCTTTGTCATAAATCAGGGGTCCATATGAAGTGCATCTGTTTCTGGATATTTATCCTGTTCCTTTGGCCATCTGTGTATTTGTGTGACGATACCTCATTCTATCTTATCTACTCAGTAGCTTTACAATAAGTCTTGGTAACTGGCACCATAACTCGTTCAGCTTTGTTCTTCTTCTTCAAGATTGCCTTGGCTATTCTAGGCACTTTGCATTTCCATTTAATGTTTTAAAATTCAGCTTGTCAAGGGGTGCCTGGGTGGCTCAGTCAGTTGACCGTCTGACTCTTAATTTCGGCCCAGGTCATGATCTCATGATTCGTGGTTTCGAGCCCCACATTGGCCTCTGCACTGACAGCTCAGACCTTATTTGGGATTCTCTCTCTCTCTCTGCACCTTCCCTGCTTGCACTCTCTCTCTCTCTCTCAAAGTAAATAAGTAATTGTTTAAAAAATAAAGCTTGTAAATATCCACAGATACACCTAGAGAAATTTTGATAGGAAGTTCAATGAAACCACGGATCAAACTGGTAAGAAATAACATCTTTACAATATTCAATATTCTTATCTGTGAAATGGTATATACGTCCATTTATTAAAGTCTTCTTTAATTTCTCTCACTAATATTTTGTAGTTTACAGTGTAGAAGTCATTCACATCTTTCTATAAATTGATTTCTAAGTATATGCTATTACAAATGTTATTTTTATGAGTCCATTTTCTTTCTTTCTCTTTCTTTCTTTCTTTCTTTCTTTCTTTCTTTCTTTCTCTTTCTTTCTTTCTTTCTTTCTTTCTTTCTTTCTTTCTTTCTTTCTTTCTTTCTTTCTTTCTTTCTTTCTTTCTTTCTTTCTCCTAATGTGGTTTCAATTTCTTAATGCCTTCTATCCACCCACCCATCCATCCATTCACAGCACATAATCTGTCTCTCAAAAGTGTATCTTGGGCACATCATGAACATAGTTTTAACTTTTATTCCCTTAGATTAAGAAGGCAGAGCTTATAAATAAATTATGATTGTGAAGCAGATCTAGTAATAATGCTCAGTAAACGTACAATAGACTCCATATTACTAGCAAGAGATAAATAAACTAGTCTGACTGAACCCTGACCAATTACCTTCTTCCTGAATTGAGCTCAGTACATATGATACTATTGTCCAGATTGCCTGACTGAGATTAGTGGGCAAAACTGGACAAATGTACGTAGTCTTATCCAGATATTTTGATTGATTTAAGTGACAACGTCTCAAAGATTTTTTTTTTTTTCATTTAAAATCAGTTAGACGAGGTTATAAATGCTGGAATGGTTAACATCATGCAATTCGTAAACTATTTTCATAAGTGGAAAATTCAAGTAATCGAAAAAGCTCTAAAAAAATCATTTCCTAAGTGAAACCTTATCTCTATGATCTAAAATCATATTTCTAATTGAAAACACCATTGGAAATGGTTAAGGAAAGTCAACCAGTGTTAACCCCCCAAATGAGAGTTCACATGGCCTGATCAGAATGACTCTCCCTTCTATTGGAGCAGACCACAAAACCACCACCACTGCCATCATTGTTAGAATAAAGCTTTAGAAAGGTCTACGATACTTTTGTGAATGTCAGTGGAAGGTTGGTACTAAGTTCAACACCTCCCAAGATACTCCATGTTGTCACTTACTCGTAAGATCTCCCTGCAGATGTACGCGATCCACTCTTCCTTCAACGTGTTACCTTTTGTGTTCTTGATCAGGTCAGTGACAGAGCCAGCACCACAAAACTCCATCACCAACTGGCAAAGGAAGCAAACATACCATAATTATAATTATACTTCACAGCTTCCACTGGGTTAGGACAGCATAAGTGATTCCAGTTGGCTGCTTTAGAATGCCATTCCTGTAAGGAACAAGTGATCATAAGACAATATATAAAACATAAACTTATATCTTAATTTCTTTCCAAAATGATGGAAAAGAAAGATTATTTTTAATTTTCCAATCTGAAAATTATAGTTGGAAATTGAGGAAAATCTCCATATTCTAAGTATTTTTAAAAACGAGGGCAGATGTATTTGAGAATATCTCTGCAGTTTTATCCAGCAATTGATCTCATCTCTCCTACAAAAGCGGATCATTCTCCTGTCTGAAAGAGCTATGGTTTTCTAGGCAGTCCAACATTGGGACAATAAAGTGTAGGCTGTTTATGGTATTGGTTTGTAAGTGGCACTGTAAGCTGTCAGAGTGGGGACTATCTGTTTTTAATTAACTTCAGCAAATGTTCCCGGGAGGTTAGACACATCAAATAAATTCGATAAACAATAAGCCTTAATTTAGCACCTTTCATCCAAAAAGCTTCAAGTTCTCTATAAATATAAACTCATTACAGCACTCAGCAACTTTATCGAATAGACAGAAAATAATCCTCTCCCTTATTTAATAGAGAAATAAAGACTAGAAGAGGGAAAACAATCCATCTGATTTTACACTCATTTTCTAGGTTGAGGAAACATATCCATTTCCATATTTTCTCCCTTTTCTTAAAACTAAAAGAGGTCTTCTACAAATGTCATCTTATTAAGTACTTATATATTTTTTGTAATTATATGAAAAGAATTCAGAATAACTATCAATCAATCTCTGACTAGACACTAGAAACAGAACTAAAATGGATCCATAAGAAATCACGTTGACGGTTTTGGCTTTGTCCAAATGTCCATTCCCAACATCAACACCATGGTTGCCTAATAGAAACTCAGTAAAACTCTGAAATGAGTTTCATGAATGAGTTTCCAGTGCGTCTTCTGACTTGTCTTGTGATTCCACAAATGGCAGGAAATGCTACCATCTTCTCCAGACTGCCAAGGGAAGTAAAGAGACCTATTAGAAGTTTCTGTAAGGAAATTTGAGAAGTGCCACGGTAGCTCACACTGCAACCCAAAAAGAGTTGCAGAGTTGTCATATATGATAGCCAGGAAGCTATAGGAGACCACAAGATCATGTTAGAAAGAACTCAAGAATCAACTTGAAGAGGTTCTCACTGGCCAACTATGGGATGATTTGAGCATCAATAAAAGTAACAACTGCAACGGCTTGAAACACATTAAATATGCCTAACTAAATGCATTAATAAACAACCCTCAAAAAGAATATATATATAACTGGCTCCATCTTATTTTGAGACTGGTAAATAAAGGGAAAGAATCAAGAGTTTCTACTGCCAATCTGAGATAAGTTTTACCACTGGATAATTAAGTACTTAAGAGGTAAATTTTCTTTTCATAAACAGCAGGCATTCCATGCAATAAATGAAGAGGACAGAAGAGAATTAGAATATTACTATTTCATAGCCCCTAAATAAAAAAATTTAAGCACTGATTATCAATGGCTGCTAACACTAAAATAAATAAATAAATAAATAAATAAATAAATAAATAAGAAGTAACCAGACAGGATTTGCCTCTTGATTAGAATAGCAACATCACCTAAGAAGTAGCCTTGCCAAAAACAAACAACAGCAAACAAACAAAAAACCCAGAATCTGATCAAGTGTTTAGTTCCAACTGCCAAATTACAAAAAATTCAGAGTACTGAGGAACATGTTACCTCATGGGGACACAATCAAGAAAACCTAGAATAGGAAACTCCATAGGGCAAATGACCCATTTGCTTTAACAAATAAATTGCAAGAAGGTAAAAAAGGAGATGGAGGGGATATCTATAGACTTAAAACCATTAAAAAAGATATACCAACAATGTGCAAAGGATGCAACTTATCTAAATATGATTTTTTTAAAAAAGCTGTTAAAATTGTTGAGGCAATTAAAGCTTTGCATACAGACTAGATATTTGATGATACTAAGGAAATAGGAGGTTTTTTAAAAAGTGTGATAATGGTACTGTTGTTATTTAAAAAATTCTTATCTTTTAGTGAAACATACTGAAATATTATGGATAAAATGATATGATGGTCTTTTCTATAAATGCTGCTGGGACAACTGAATATCCACATGTAAAAGAATGATGTTGAACCCTGACCTCATACTATACAAAAATTATCTCAAAATGGATCAAAGACCTAAATGTAAGAACTAAAACTATAAAACTCTGAGGAGAGAATACAGGGGTAAATTTCCATGACCTTGGACTTGGCAATGGTTTCTAGCTATGACAATAAAAGCACAAACAACAAAAGAAAACACAGATAAATTGGATTACATTAAAATTAAAAACTTCTGTGCATCAAAGGATATAAACAAGAGAGTGAAAAGAAAACTCCCAGAATGGGAAAAATATTTGTAAATCATATATCTAATAAAAGTCTAGTATCCAGAATATATAAAGAACAGATCAACAACAAAAAAATAAACAACATCATTTAAAAATGGGCAAAACACTTGAATAGACATTTCTTCAAAGAAGATATACAAATAACCTGCAATCACATGCCAAGATGTTTATCATCAACAGTCATTAGGAAGTTGTAAATCAAAACAATAAGATACCACTCTATACCCACTAGGATGGTTATAATTTTTTTAATAAGTCAGAAAATAACAAACGTTGGCAAGGATGTGAGAAATTGGAGCCCTCATATACAGCTGGAGGGAATGTAAAATGTTGCAGTCACAAACACTTTAATGGTTCCACACACATTAAGTTAACATAGAATTGCCATATGACCTAGTAAGTCCAATTTTAGGTATATACTCAAAAGAATTGAAAACCAAGTATTCAAACAAAAACTTGCATCAGAATGTCCAAAGCAGCACTATTCACAATAGACAAAAGGTGGAAGTAACCAAAATGTCCACCATTGGATGAATAAACAAAATGTGGTATATCCTATAATAAAGTATTATTTTGCTATGAAAAGGAAAGAAGTACTGATGCCTGATACAACATGGCTGAATCTTGAAAAGATTATACTAATTGAGAGAAGGACCAAAAAGGCTCTATATTGTATAAACCCACTTATATGAAATATCCAGAATAGGCAAATCCCTAGAAACAAAAAGATTAGTGGTTGCCAATGGTTTCCTTTTGGAGTCATGACAAAGTTCTGGAACTAGATAGTGGTAATGGTTGGACAATACTATGTACTTAATGCCACTAAATTATATATTTTAAAATGGTTAAAATGTTAAATTTTATGTTATATATTTTTTATCATAACTTAGAAAAAGAGATATAATGAGAAGATATGTTTCAAAATAATAGAAGGAAAGAAGTGGGTAAGCATATGGATGGGCAGGATTGGTCAATGATTGATGGTTTGGGGATTAGTGTTGCGCATACGAGTGTCCATTATATTGTTCTCTTTACTATTGTGTATTTGGGGGATTCTCTACAATACAAAGTTAAAGAAAAATCCCATTGTGTAGCAAACCATGGTTCAATGGTGGCAGGATAGACTGAAGAAACATCCTTGGGTTGAAATATTTTCTCAAGTGAGCTGAATATGTTTGTGCTCCTTTCTCTTCTCAAATCTCATTTTGACAAACACAGTGACCAGACCTCCTATGAATCCTTCCATTGCTCCCATATCAGCGGGAGAAAATGTCCCACCGCTGAGCTCTATTAGGCCACAAAATTATAGTTCCCAAGGAAAGCAGTGGAAGCCCAGTGACTCTAGTCTTTTAAAATTAGATTGGACAAAATACTTTCAAATATTCAGTAGGAAACAATCCTGCTCTAGCCAGGCACTAATGTCAGTGATTTCTATAATTTGCTTCTCTATTCAGCTCTAGCTGAAGGCTGCTGAATTCTTTTCATTTCACTATGGAATGAAATGATTGTTAAATTGTGTAATGGGATTTAAAAAAAAAAAAGAGAGAAAGAAAGGAAGAAACCAGCATTTGCTAGCAACTGGTTCCTGCAGCCACACAGTGACACTGATAATTACTGCCACCACGCAGCAGGGACCCTCCCTCATCACAAGTAACCTCATCACATTAATAAACAGAAACAGGGCTCAACATGCCAAGCCCAGCAGCAGTAAGTCAATAACTTCACATCTCACAAGCAAGAAATAATGGATCATTAATATCTTCCCCCAAAGAAAGTTCTTGAAGAGTTGACACTGGGGCAACAATACTTGCTAACATTAACTGAGAATCTGCCATGTGCCGGGTGCTGGGCTTGGTGATTTGCAGCTACTGATTCATTAATACGCCATTGCCTCAATTCCCTTTTCCTTATTCACTTAGAAATGAAGCTTAGTAATGGTCTGCAGCCTTATCCATGGTATACCTACTCATTAAGTAAGCAGAGTGTGTTGAAAGAATGGTGCTCTCTCAAGTACTAGTTATGTGACCCTGGGCATGTATGTTCTCTAACCACCCTGGGCTCAGCACCCCACCACCATCACTATAAAATACAACATAAAACAATAAAATAAAATAAAATAAAATAAAATAAAATAAAATAAAATAAAACAAAACAAAATAAAATAAAACAAAATAAAATAAAACAAAATGTTTGGTGTGAACACTAAATGTGTTTATGAGTGTAAAGGTCCTAGCAGTCCCAAATCTTAAACTATACTTATTACTTTTTATCTGTTGGTCTGTCTGCATTTTTAAAAACGAGCAACCAGGAAGAGTTTCCAGCTTGGAAGATGGTATCAATAGCTTCCCAAGATCCACTTCAAATGGCTGACAGAACATGGGGCACATGCATTTCTATAACCTCTATTAACAAAAGAGCACAAAGAACACATGGCTTTTTTTTAAGCTTGTATCACATGGCAAGAAAAAAACAGTGGTGCATTCCAGGATGTCGGATCTTTTTATTT